TGCTATACATTGTTCACTTGAATATTCCATTAAACATGAAAGTCTTTATCGTTATTGGGTTTGGATTGATCTTGCTATGAATGTATTTATACCATTTACAGGTAGAATATATAAATAAATAAAATAATCCTTCTTGTTTTTTATTTTGTTTTAGCAATGATTGCTTGTACAATAATAATTATTTTAACACTTGTTCGTTCATCATCTCGAGCTGGTTCAACATCAGCTCGTCGTTCACGTCGTCGTCGTAATATATCTGTGATGTTAATCACTGTCAATCTTGTTTTTATTAGTTTAACAGCTCCAATCGTTATATTTTTAAGTATAAATGAATATGTTAAAGATGAAAATAATAATTATCGACAAACAGTATTAGTATTGATTAAAATTTTGTGTATTATTTTAATGAATCTTAATCATTCAGTTAATATTGTTATTTATTCACTTACAGCAAGAGAATTTCGTTCTGAAATGACTAATTTTTTACACGCATTGTTATATTGTATTATTGGAAAACCAATAAATTCAGCCGATCTTCGATATGCACATGATGATGGAACATTATTATCACGTATAAGACGTTTTAGACATAATTTATTTAAATGTTGTCGAATGAAAATACATTCAAATTCAACAAATACAACTGATTCAAGTGGTTTACAACATACAACAATGCCCCAAGGAACAAGTAATACTCGGATATCAAATAGTAAAAAAATGAATAAATGTAAACGTTTAGAACGAAATGGAAATCGTAAATGTTCAATTGTACCTAATAGTGAAACATTAGCACATAAAAATAATCATCGTCTTACTGTACAATTACAAGCTGATGTAGCTTCATCTGTATATGAACGTGAAGATGTTTCATTTCATGGTTTATCTGTATCAACGGAAGATTAAGAAAAAAAAATCAAATCAAATCTTTGTTTCCTTGTACAGTTTTAATTTTACTATTTTTTCTTTCTTGTGTTAAGTTTATTTGTTATTATTCTGATTTTCTCGTTTGTTTCTATCTGCTATAACTGCCTTCTGCGCTTTTCTTTCTTTCTTTTTTTTACCTATACACATTTAATCTTCTCCTTGAACACGCAAAAAAAAACAAATATTATGAAAAGAGAAGAAAATACAAAAGAATAATTGATATGTTAGTATTATATATATATATGTATATATATATGTATGTATCATAGTTGAGAATAGTAAAATAGGAACCACTTAATTTAATACAACCAGAATATAATAGAGATCATACTAATAGAAAACATGCGATGTCCTACAATTCAATTACAAACTAAAAGATGCTTGTTACAGAACCAAAAGAAAAATCATTTGGCCATGTTATAATCAACATTTTTCTCTCATGGGATTAGCTCTATTTAATTATTAATTATATCAATCATTTTCATTCTTTTTCTTTTTTTGAGTTATGTTATTTCAGTTATTTATTGAATAACTAATTAAGTCTTTAGTAAACTTTAAGATAAACAATAATTAACAGTACAGAATAACATCTCAGTTAGTTTTAAGAATCATCAAGATATAATGACAGATATGATTTAATATCATAAAGAGACGACAAAAAAGATCTTGATTGACATAAATTTTGTAATACTAGAAATACTCCTACATAATTACTAGATTCTTCCAGTAGACATCAAACGATATAATGCATCCAAACTTTATTATAACGAATGTTTTCATAAATTTTTAATAATAATGAAAAATAAGTGTCAGTTATTAACTGACATCAAGTACTCTTTTGATATCGTATCATATTTCAAATATATTTCTATCTCGCATAGAAATGAAAAAAAAAAAACATTAATAAGGTTTAGAATTGAGAGACAGTTTCTATGTATGGAGGTGACTTTTTTCTATTATTAACATTATCGGTCCCCGGGGATTTTTCATGAATATATGTGAACTCGATGTTAAGGATAATTATTTTGTTAAATAAAAATGATGAAAATATTTGTTTTTCTTTTTATTCTGTTGAATTGTTTTTCAAACATTAATATCAAATTACTACATCTAATTTTCATACTAAAAATACAAACATATTCATTTAAAAGTCAGAACACTTTGTTTCATATTCATTATTTCAGAGAGAACCTTTTGTATTTTTTCAATTAAAATTTTTTATAATTGTTACACATACTAGTGTCATTCATACAAAAGTTTTCTTATTTATTTATAGTTTCGAGTTCTTATAAGGATGAAGAATGTTCATGTCAAGAATACTTGTCCTGATACGAAATAGAACTGTTTCCTTTTTTTTCAATTAAGAACTCAGTATTACATATGTTAAATGGCATCATTAGTTTTCATATGCAACCAGAAATACTTTTTCTAGCATTACATAATCGTATGATTGCAAATTGTACATTGTAAAGAATAATCAAAAATTACAAAATGTCGTTGTTAAAGATTTTTTAATATTTTTGATCTTTTTTTTATGTGTAAATACTGAATAATATTCAATGCATAAAGGACCGTATCGAAAATACATGTAAACACCCGTTTTTAGAGTTATTGTGTTTTTTGTAAAACATACAAAATCATACACAATTTTCATTCCTGCAGACACTCCACAAGTATTACTTCCGTATATCAATGAAATACATGACCTGCATGAAAATGTCAAAATGTCACCTGTGTGTAATCACAAGATTATTAGATCTTTGTCAAAACTTGCATGTCAATACTAAAATTTGATACTAAGATAATTCTATGTTTACATGAAAAAAAATAAAACGACTATTTTGTAGTATCATGCAAGAATTTTGTTTTTCTTTCTTCAATGTATTATTATTGATTCCTCGTTATAATGGAATCATTGTCTTATAAGCAGAGAGTAATTGTTGAGAAAAAAACTTGTTCCATTTTTCAAATTCTCTGATAATTATTAGCATTCCTATACATTTGTGTCTACGACTAATTTAACGATCATTATGTTGAACAATTTTGAAGAAAATCTTAATTTAAGTAGAGATTCAAGTTACAAAGAATTTAAAATCATGATCTAAATTATATAAGTTCAAATATTACTATATCTTAAAAGATTAGGGTATTTTAGTGCAAATTCTTCATTTTTTTGTCACTTTATCTTTTTTTGAGTGTGTATAAACAAGAATAACTACCCCTAAGCGTAGAAGCTTTCTAGAAAAACTATCTTATATTCTCGAATATGAAAATATTAAAATTATACATGCAGATAATTTCATGTGTATCGATGTGAATATCGTTTAGTCGTTGACATGTCCACACGCATTCTATGCTTTAACGATTCATGCATGCACAAGTTACATTATCGCACGATTACGTGCGTTGTTTTTTGAAATTGCGAATAATTGCATAAATCATGACTCTAAAAGCTAAAATTGAATTTATTTTTAGAATAAATTGTTCATGCTTACTTAGTTGTGTCAACTTAACGGACATTCCTTCTTATTTCATCCATATTTAGCATGAAACAAGACTATATTTTATTTTGTACTTTCATCTTTCATATCTGAAAATACTTTAATAGAAAAAAAAAGAGTACAAAAAATAAAAGCAGCAACAAAATAAATCAGAACAAAATAACGTTTTTTTTTTTTCTAAATAGTTCAATATCAAAAGAAAAGGGCGTGATAATAAGTAATCGATTATCATTGAGGCGTGTCGAAACAAAAAAATAAGTATGATTAGTCCGATCACATATATGTAATTAGAACATTTTCATACAGCTAATGACACGTATATAAATGAAAATATTACTTGGTATGACAAATACTTATCAATGGCAACTACAAAAGAATTTATGTCTAATACTTGGTGGTCATCGAAATGTTTATTAATATCGAAATATATTCTTTCATATTGTTTTTATATTCATATTATATTGATAATATTGATAGGAATTATCCAATTACGTTTTAGTATAGTTTATAAGAATCATTGTACAATAGATGATCGTATTATTCTTTATCTATTTATTATTGGTATTATTCAAATAATATATTCATTGAATGGAATTCTTCTTATTATATTTGCCCTTTTATATAATAAACATCGATGTGTCACTCTTTTTCTTCTCATATGTTTTGTAATTCATCAAATATTTAGCATATTTTTAATCATATGGTTTATTATGGGTAATTATTTAGTATTTCATATAGTGAAAAAAGTTCAGTTTACGAATTCATATAAAATTAATACTTATTGTAATTATACATTATATCAAACAGCATTTTGGACAATCATTACTGATTATATTTTAATCGTTTTATTTTCTATTGCTTTAATGGTCATAAATAAAAACAAATGCTTCAGAAAAAAATTTCTACATTCTAACAGTGAATTATGTAAAAACCAAAATAATGACTTCATGGAAGCTAATCAAAAACAATCTATTAGTATAGAAAATAATAATTTTTATTAAACATAATTTAATCGAAAACAATGCATATCAATGATATCATCCATTTTATTAGTTTCTTTTTTTATTCATTAATTGTACAGCCAAATTCTTAACAGAGTCAAAGACATTTATAAATAAATTTTTTCATAACATATATCGATTGAAAAAATACTCCGACAACTTTATTAAATAAATGATAATAAGAGATAAAAAAATTACTAACAAAGAATGTTTATCTGTTAGTTTAAACATAATCTAAATATACATAACAAAGAAGAAAAAAAAAGTATGTAAATTGACCAGTACAAGTGGTAAATGACATTTATTTAGTCCATCTTGTGAACAGTCGAATGAATTCATCTAAAGTTTGCCGTGTGTGCTTCGTTTCGTTTATACTCACACAAACTATATTGTTCAATCCGGTCAGCGACACACAGGAACACACACATACACACACATAGACTCACCGACGTCGTCATTGTTGAGCTCAATGTAAACAGACAAACGAAGTTGATCTATATAGAAAAAGAAACGAATGAATCTTTTCTGTCTTGTCTTTCAATCACAAAAAGAAAAAAAAAAAAAAGAAAACGATATGAAGTTTTTATTCATTATTCAATTGATAATAATCTATTGGAAAAAATTTGCTCGTAAAAATATTTGTTTATAAAAAATTTTTCTTTTATTAAATTTTTTTTTTTTTTCTTATTCTTATATAGAAAATTCTGATTTGCGTGTTGTTTGTTATTATACAAATTGGTCATTATATCGTGAAGCTATGCCAACACTTTATCCAGATCATATAGATCCATTATTATGTACACATATACATTATGCTTTTGCTGATATTAATCCATTAACATTAACAATAACACCGACAGAAGAACATGATATTCATTGGACAGATCGATTAGGAATGGTATTTATAAGAATATTTTTTTGTGTGTTTCTTTTTATTGTTCTCAACTTGATTTTAGCCACTTTACCTTCGTATGTATGGTTTAAAACGACGAAATCCTAGTTTAAAAATAATCTTATCTGTTGGTGGTTGGTCAGCACGTAGTAAAGGTTTTAATGCTGTTTTAAGAAGTGATAATAATCGGTAAGAATAGACTTATCAGGAAACTATTTGAATTGATAACCTTCATTCGAACTCATATTGTGTTGATTGTTAAAATTCATTATGCAAATAAAAATCTTAAAAAGACTTATACAATTAGTAATTTCTTCTTGAGTTGTAATTATTTTAGTCAAATTTTCAGTCTATTGAAGAATATTACGACGGGAAATAAATCAAGAATTTTTAGTCTGAAAATTTACCGACTAATAGATTTTATGATCCTTATAATACTCTGTAAGTTGTAGCAAAACTGAATGATTTCTTCTGAAGATATTCTATACTGAAAAAAAAAAAATGGATATGTTCAAATCTTGTACTAGAAACTAGAATATTTACAACTGTATTATTTTAAGATAGAAGCATCTGTTTTTGTTGAAACTGTTAGAATATTATCAAGTTCATGAAATTTATTATTCGGTAAAATTTCACACTAAAATAATTATAATTCAAGAGGAAATCGCTAATGGCACATATGTTTTTAAGATTTTTATCTGTACAATATACCCTAACAATCATCAAAATATGAGCTCGAACGAAGATCATCAGTTAGAAAAGTTCCATCGTTCAGAAGAAAAAAATAACCAAATTTGAAATTAATAATTTAGTGCAAAATTTATTAATCAAACAATTGCTTTTCTTCAAGAATGGCAATTTGATGGATTAGACCTTGTAAGATAACTTTTTTTTTCCTTATTTAATTTGAAAAATAAAAATTTATTATTCTTTAGGATTGGGAATTTCCTGGTTCACGTGATCGTGGAGCATCAACTGATAGTAAAATTAAATTTAATATTCTTATTCGTGAATTGCGACAAGCATTTGAAGATGATGCAATTAGAATAAATAAAACAAATAGATTATTATTAACAGCAGCTGTAGCTGCTGATCCAAAAAAAATTGATCAAGGTTATGTTATTGAAGAATTTTGCAAGTAAAATTTTCATCTTTTAGAAATCCTTTTTATTTCTATTCGAGTTCTTTTTTTTTATTTAGTGGATTAGATTATGTTAATGTTATGACATATGATTATCATGGTAAGTTTATTTAATTGATAGTTTTAGATTTCTACTTTGTAAAACACAATCAAAAAAAAGAATATTGAATCATACGGATAAAAATTGAACCTTCTAGCAGGCCATGACAAATGTTGTTGATATGCGATCAAAGATTGTTAATCAATGGCGTCTTATTCTAAAATATGAACTACTTCCTTATGGCTTTGCTAAAGAATTAATTAAAAGGATGATGAGGAAATGTGTCAAAAAATAGATGGAATAAAATAATCTCCCTACGGTTAGCAGGAGCAGCCATGTTGTGTTTCACATTTTAATATCACAGAGAATATGCTAACAGCTTTTTTTCTTGATTTGCTTTAGGTAAATGGGATCTCGTAACAGGTATTAATAGCCCATTATATAGAAGTCATACGGAATTAGAAAATCATGAAGATTGGAAAAATACTGTAAGGAAATAATTTTAATTTTCTAAAAAAAAGCATAAATTTGTTAAATTTATTGTTTAGAATTCATCGATTTATTATTGGATAAATAATGGATGTGTAGCATCAAAGATTAATTTAGGTTTAGCTTTATATGGACGATCATTTACATTAACTCATACTCACAATACTTCCATTGGTGCATCAATTGTTGAAGGTGGAGGAGAAGGTATACATATATATATACTTACATTAAGAATTTTATTTATAAATAAAGATAATTTAAAATTGTTTTTAGCTGGTCCATATACGAAAGAAGAAGGCATTTTAGCGTATTTTGAAGTAAAGAAATTCTATTTTTTAAAATATAGAATTATAAAAGAATGTTTATAGATTTGTCAAAAGTTGCGTGCACATAATTGGACAACTGAATGGGATGTAGAATCACAATCACAATATGCTTATTCGGATACGGGTCAATGGGTTGGATATGATTCACTGAAAAGTGCAACACTTAAAGTAAAGAAAAATATAACATTTATTAAAGTCGATAGTTGAAATTGAAGTTCTATATTATCTATGAAAATAAACAAATAATGATCGAATTTTGAGATTTATTAGGATTTTTTTTATTTAAAAATGATATCTTCATCAGAATTTATTTTTGAGATTTATTATTTAAATATATCGAATAAGATAGAATTGTTTTTTAATTGAAAATTTTAGAGATGTTATTGATGAGTATTCACAATGTTACCATTCTTTATAGGTTATTTGGAGCAAATCGATGGGATTGGGTGGAGTAATGCTGTAAGTATTGTTGTATTATCTTCAATTAATTTGAATCATTTTCTCTTTGAACAATCTCATGAAAAGCTTTAATTATAATTTTGAAAAATAGTGCTATCTATAATAGCTTTTAACCAAGATTTTGCGTTTTTTTCAGCAGAAAATCTTCATTTTGGTATTCAAAATTAGCAAGTTTATCATTTGAACTACTGTAGAAATTTCGAAGCATTGTTACTTTCATTGATCATCATTATTAAACATCAAAAAGCAGAAAACGAAAAGAAAAATAAATTGCTTCTACATTTAGAAACTGTGTATATGTAGAGTTATCAGTCTTAGCATCGATAAGATAGAAATCTATCCTTTTCTTACTACTCAGTAACCTTATTGAATCATTTTGATTCATTTATAAAAACAATCTATTCGGAGTAGTAAAGCATCGAGTTCATACGGTCCACAATTATGTTGTAGAGCCTTCAATAAACTTAGAGTTCATAAAAAATTAAACGTATTTTTATCACTCATTGGTTAAGTGTAATTAGTTGGAAAATAGAACTTTTTCAAAAAAGTAAAAAAGTCATGTTTTTTCTTTTATTTAGTTACACACACACCGCTTATTCTGATGCTTGTGAGGTTAATATATACAATACTATGAATATAATCTATTTGTGAATTAGTTTTTAAAAGTTTCTTGATTGTAAATGTTAAAATAGCATTTTTCACGATAAATTGGGTCATTTTTTATCCATTGGTAGTGAATAACTTGAAAAATAGTTTTCCTAAAAATTATATTATTTTCGATAGAAACTTACACATAACACGAACTTCATGCGAGAAAACTTTATTCGATCGAGCATCCAGTCAAAAAACATTCTACGGTCGTTTTTAAATAATCTGTTATCGATAAAAGATAGAAACTTGCAGCTTCTGTCATGACCTACTTTCTACGCGAGATTTAAACAATAGCGATAGCTGATTTCAATTCAACAATAGGCACCTTTGCAAGTCTCTGACCATATGTGATGTTCCAAAATGAGTCTTTTTTCAAAAAATAAATCATGATAAGTACATTTCCAATGCTATACAGATAAAATAACAATATGTCCATGAAAAAACGTAAAAAAAAACTCAATATTAACAATTTCTATGTCATTCAGTATATATGACTCATTTGTAGTTCATTTTGCATCTCTGCACTGAAATGACTTCGCCTAAATTTAACTATATCAGTTTGATAATCAGCATCTACATAATCTATTCCTGCGGTTGACTAAACCCCAACTCTAATGAATTAATGTCAAAGAGTAAATATGGTTAAGCAATTACTTATTCGATTATTCATATTCTTTGTTTAAGATGAATATATTTTTGACACTTTGTATTAAGTTTTTTTTTTATTTTTATTTTTATATTTGTTAGATGGACATTAGATTATGATGATTATACAGGTTTATTTTGTAATCGTGGTGAATTTCCATTTACTCGTCGTGTTCATGAAACAATGTTTGATTCAATATTAACAACATCGACAATATCGATAACAAATGAATCTCATACGACAACATCAATTCGTACATCAAATTCTTCGATATTTCTAAAATTAAATCGAACGAATAGACCTAATTTTTTTCTTGTTGTAGCACCATCACATCGAACAAAAATTGTTTCAGATTCTCGTATGGTCAATCATGCCGGTGACCATTTAAAATATAAATTCTTCTTATTATTCTTTCTATCGGTGTTTCATTTCTTTAAATAATAAATAAACGATTTTGTTCTATTAAATATCATTGTGCAAATACGTTTAATTATTGTTGGTTTGATTTTTTTTTTATGAACAAAAAAGAAAAAGCAAAAAGAACCAATGAAAAAGAAAAAAGGATTTTTTCCATCTTCTCAATAACAAAAACAAACATATTAAAGAAATGAAAAGAGAAAAAGAAAGAGAATATTAGTATAAATATCAAGGGAAACAACAAATAGTTTTTTTTTTAATCCATAGAAGTTTTAATCTCATTTCTTTATTTTTATCCTTCAAATGTTAATTCGTTCTTTCTGATTAATCAATCTATTATCACCCATTATGTGGTTGTTTTTTTAATTATATATGAGATTTTGTTTTGAAGAAGAAAAAAAAAGAAAAACAAAACAAACAAATAAGTGTAAGAAAAGAGAAATAATATCACTGGAATACAAATGTTTGTTTTCTTATATTAGTCTATTTTAATTGAATAAATTTTTCGAACAAACGCTTGAGTTCCTATGTAACCAAATGTACCACACATTATTCCGAGACCAAGACAAAATAAAGCCATATAACCAAAATAAAATACCGTTTGGAACATTCCATACATTCTAAATTAGAAAATTTATTTATATCTTGTTTTTTTTTCTGGATAATGAATTTGATTTACTTCGTTTTAAAGAAGAAATAATAAATAGCATATAAATAAACATAAAATGCTGATGATGCACCAGACAAAAAGCTTGTCCATTGCCTAAAAAAAACATCAATACATGTTTTGGCACAAACATGAAAGATTTTATTTTATTTCGATAAATACAAATAGATTTAACAAAACTTTATTAAAACTTCATTGCCTTCATAATAGATCAGAGGAAACACCGATATCGGTCGGTCTGACGGTAGGCTGGTCATTACCCATGTACTTTACTTATTGTTTTGCTCTTATTATCACATAGAGGATATGTAATGAAACTTGGTTGAAAGTTGACTACGTTATATATCAGTATTCGCAGATAGAATAGTACAACAACTTGGTAGTTGAGTGTCGGTATGAATTTCATACTGACCAGTATCGGTCATGAAAAATCCAGCACAATTCCATTTCTGCATTAGATTTCTATGAGTATTTTCAAACAAGAGAGCATATTCAACTGTTGGACACAGCTCAATTTCATATTGTGGCTATCAATAGATTCCTGTGAGTCTAAGAAAAACATATAAGAATTCGTACTTCTATGACCTTCTCTAGTGAAGAGATATGAACGTTTCACTGAGAGCAAAGCATTTTTCGACAAACCTACAATGAAGATTTTTCATTTGAAATTTTTGCCTGTAAAAAAGATTTAATAGCCATCAGATAGTTCTCAAAGTTTCAATGAAAGCGAACATACTTTTCTTGAGATATTTAATTTCTATAAAAAACATTTGTTTACTAGATGAAAACACCATAATCTAGTCTACACAGAAATTAAATATTTCGAAAAAGGTATGTTCGATTTCATTGAAACTTTCAGAACTATCTAACGACTATTAAATCTATTTATAGATAAACTTTCAAGTAGAAAAATCTTTAGTTTTGATTTTTCGAAAATGTCTTCCTTTATGTAAAACGACCATATCTCTTCACTAGTAGGTTATGGGTACGAATCCTTATATGTTTTTCGTAGTCTCACAGAGACTTATTCGTAGTCATATTATGAGGCTGAACGACAACTGATAAGTGGATATGTTGTCTCGATAATCCAGAGACTAATTTTTAAACAAAACTGAACTTGTCTTTGTTGTTTTTGAATGGAAATTATGCCATAAATTTCACTTTTTCAAGAATTATCAATTAGATCTTTCTGCAAACGTAATAGAAATATTCAAACGATAGAAGATATTGAATAAAGTCATTCATGTTAAAGGCATATAATTACTAAAAGCTATATTACATTGTGCATTGAAGTAATTCTAATGGTTCTTTTCGTTGTAGAATAATTGTTCATAAACAATCAACGTCAAAATAGAAAATCAAGCTATGATTAATAAATATATTTTTTATTGAATACTCATGATTGATGAGCTTCAAGAGTATACCAAAAACACACCCACACCCTTCTATGTGTGTTACGAGCATACTAAGTTTATAAGTCTGTCTGACAATATAGCCCAAATAATTCATCATACTTCACTGATACTCGAATCTTGAAGTACGATGAAATATTTATGCTTTATTGTCAGATATACTTATAAAGTTAATATGCTCGTGACACATTTGAACTTCTAGAGGATAGCTTTAACATGTATTTGAAGTACATTATTTTCGCTTTCTCAAAATATTTTTCATAGAGAAAATTGATAAGAGGATAAATACGTAAAAAATTGACTTTCCTTCATTGTCAGTTTTGTTTTCAATACTTCAAAACTTTTCTATATATATATATATGATAATCATTCTTGTTTATACTATTCATGTCAATTGCTTTAAAAAGATTTCAAACTTTACCATCGATAATCTTCTGCATTGAGCATAAAATAACTCGCAACAATCGTTACACATACAGTAACAACAGCAAGTATTAAAAAGACAAGTAACATAAATCCATAAACATAATAAATCTAAAGAAATAAATTCAATCTTATATATACATATATATGCCTTTAAATTAAATTTTTACTTTATAAGCCCAAAATGAAGTAAAAATAAAATACCTTTGAATAAAGAAAATTATCATATAAAAATTCTTTTTAAAAAAGAAACTAATTTACATTTCAATAAATATCGATCCGAATGGTAATACTCCACTTGCCAATATAATCACATTTGGTTCCATAAACCTAATTCATTAATATAATAAACATAAAAAATTTAAAAAAATTAAAATTTCTTATGAGACCATTTCTTTTCTGGTATTGGTCGTGGCACAGCATTTGTTCGACATGGATCATTGGGTACTCCACTAATATTTCTTCCCAATACAGTACCAATTGCTGTTAATGGTAAAATAATAAATAAACAAATTGCTGTTACACTTAACTAAATAAAATCATATATATATATATATTAATTAAATAATTAAAAATTTTTAACAAACCATGACAGTAAATGGTATTGAACGTGATGAACCATAGTAAATCGAAATAAAATTAACAAGAAATGCTACACCACATATTATAGCTGGAACAAGAAATGCACCAACTAATAATTGTTTTATCCATAATTGACCTTTCATTCGTGCATATAAACTTCCACCTGCATAACCATTAACGACGGAGGCTGCAGCATAGAGAAATATCGCTGTACTGAAAAGTAATCCACGTCTACAATCAAATAAATAAATATTTATTTTAAATTACGAATATATTTTATTTAAATTTACTCGGTATAAAGATCGAATACAATTGTTATTAAAATACAAAGTATTGATACTGTTGCTATTTGATAACCAGAACCGATTAATGAAGCAAATAATATAGGATGTGCTGGTGGACGAAAAACATCACCATGAACTTGTTTCCAACCATATTCATCACCTAAATCTCTTTCCTAAAATAAAAAAAAGCATATCAAATCAAATAAATTCATTAGGTTTTGTTTTAAAGAAAGTTCCAAAAGCCCAAACGAAAAAAATATAACGTAAATAGTTTCTTAGTAATTCAAGAGGTTTAAATATTTTTTTAAAATACAGTTTGATTACATATTCATTAAAGTTTTTAGATAAAATAACTGTTTCTACAAAATTCAGAATTAAAATAGTTTTACTGATGATCAAATTCGAGTCAGCTAATATTGTAAAATGAAAGGTTCAAGTTGAATTTGACAAAAGCACGCCAACTGAACTATATTTTAACGATTTTGTGATACTGGTATTGGTGAAAACCAATGACATTCTGAAAGACTAGAATAATTACCGAAGGAAAAATTAAAGATGCTTGTGAAAAATGAGTTAGAATCAAGTATTTGGTCTATTGCACAAGCTTGTTAATTATTACAACTAATACCATAACAGATTATCTCTTATTCAAATATAATTTGTTCAACAATTCTACAAAGACGAGTTACATAGATCGAACACTTGATTATGACTTATTTTTACAAGCCTCATTATTTCTTCGGTAGTTAGAAAGAAGAATACCACTGTGGCAGTGGCGCAGAATCTGCGGTGATATAAAAAAATANGATTCCATATGCTAAGGTGATACTTGTCAACATTTGTCTCTTGTTCATCTTATTAGTTAACGCATCTTCACATCGACGATTAAAAGCAAGAAAAAGATTGACGAGGCAACAAAATTTAGTTCAATTATTTTTCACTCTTTCTCACAATTTTTCTTTCGCCAGAAATTATCTATTGACTTTACCGTGTATATTGAATTTCGTCTCGGTCAATTCACGTCCGGTTCACACGTTGATTCGACGGCATAGTCAGAAAAGAGAGAGAGAGATAGAAATGGAGTGACTATTTTTTCAGGTATGATGGAAAAAGGCAGAAAGGAAAAATATCGAAACGGAAAAATGTCGAAAATAAAAATATCGAAAACAAAAGTAATACAAATGTAGATGGATAGAAATGCTGAAAACGAGAGTATATCGAAGTATGAGTCTCCCTCAACCTCAATTCAATGTTTCATGCTCATTTATATCTTATATTTTTGTTTTCGACATTTTTATTTTCGATATTTTTCCCTTCCGACATTTTTATTTTCGATATTTTTCCCTTCCGACATTTTTATTTTCGATATTTTGCCCTTTCGACATTTTTCCTTTCTGCCTTTTTCCATACATTCTTTGTTCAACGCGAAAATGAAATGGAGCACACTGGAATAATAGACAATAACAATGTGCTACTTCTTATTCATTAGATTGAATTAGGCAGAAGTGTTGATATTGTGTTGAAATCGGTGTTTTCAATAACTAGACTGTTTGATACTTTCAATGGCTGAAACCAAACGGAATTTAAGTGATATTGAATCAAATAATGATAGAAGAAAGAAGATACGAAGTAAGTTATATTCATTGATTTATCTTTTATTAACCATTAATGAATTCATTTTATTTCCTTTTTCTTAGCAAATAATAAGAAACGGTAATTCACAGAATTGTTTTTCTTGAAGTTTTCTAATTGTTAAGAATATTTTTAAAATCTAATATAGAATACATAGATCATCCTTCGAAGATTTATCGAACGAAATTGTGTATGAAATTCTGGATTTTCTTGATGGATGTGATGCACATGAAGCATTTTCAAATTTGAATGCCCGTTTCAATCGTATTGTCCATTGTCCATCTCGTCTTCTCAAGATTAATCTTTCGTTTACATCTAAATCGATATTCGAATATCGATGTAAAAAAATAATTTCGGAAAATATCGATCACATCGTTTCACTTCATTTATCAAGTGAACTTAGTATTCATCTCTTTCTCAAATCTTTCTCAATCGATTCGTTCATTCGTCTTGAATCACTCGTCCTCAATCAAATCAAGTCAGATGAACTTGAACCTCTTTTTGCTTGTTTGATTTTACTTCCTCGTCTCTTCTCTTTATCTATCGATGTTATTGACACTATGAAAAACGAAGATCTTATCTTCGGTCTAATCTTTCAACTACCTGTGTTGGAATATATTAATTGTAGGACTCGGAATAGACCTTTACTTCGATGTCCCTATTTTCGTTGCATTCCAAATCATATTATTGGGCAACAAAACAATACAATCAAATATCTGGTTACTAATTATTGCAATCTTGATCAACTTGGTCCTCGCTCGTATATGCCTAAACTTCGTCGTTTATCATGTTGTTTTGGCAGGAAGGTCGCAAATATACCAAAAGATATGCCGATGATTCCGTCCGATTTGACACACATCTGTCTCACAGAAGCTTGTTATTTACCATTTGATCAGTTCGAATTATTTATTTCAAAATTATGTCCTCGAGTAGAAATGTTACGTATTAATATACTTGATGACAAGAATTATCTCGATGCTGAACGTTGGCAATGTTTAATTGTACAGCATATGGGTCATTTAAGGACATTTGACTTTCAACATAGATGCGTGATAGCATCGGATGATTATCAATATAATACATATCATGCAATTATTGATAGATTTTCCTCTCCATTTTGGCTCGAACATCAATGGTATTTTGCCCATCAACATTCCGGTTGTTCAAAGTATCGTTATGGCAGATTTTATTCAATTCAACCATACAGGTATCAAAAGAAGCTTTCTTTAATTGTTTCATTCATTTCTTCTATCATAAGGTATAAATACCATATGTCGCCATTTGAAAACGACTACATATGTCCATATCGAGATAGTGGACTCAATATGGCTCGCCAGGTCATCATTGAAAGCTATCAATCTCTCATTCATTGCTTACTTAGATTTCCACGTGCAACTAAGTTCACTTTTGAGGATAGAGATAACGAAGACAATTATTTGCCTATTACCGATCTCAATCGTATTGTTTCTTTGGCACATCTTAATCATTTAGTTATTGGCTGGAGAAATCTGGAATCTGTTCAGTTGCTTGAACTTCTTCGTCATGCATTCAATGTTCATTCACTGGAACTCATTTGGTTCTCCCATCAACAAATACCATCTTTATCTTCGAAACAAGTTGATAATGATCATGCGATATCTAACAGAAACAATGTTGTTCAATTGATCATTCGAACGAAATCCACTCTGCAACAGCTTCACGTTCTCATGAGCATTTTTTCACATATCAAGCATCTTCAATTAAATATAACCTATAATGATTATCAATCGATCATCAAATACTTATTATTGGAAAATCGAAACAACAACAGACATCTCTTCTCATTATGTCTCAACATTGGATGTGCAAACTGTGACATAGTGAAGAATGTGAAAGCATTTATCGATAATGAGAACTTACTCGACAACTATTCGATTACATTCTCGAATGATGCTGTCTATTTATGGTGGTAGAAGCTGATTTATTCAATAATGAATATTATTCTTGACTCAGAGTGATGTGTTTGTTTGATTGTATAATGCCTAATACGAATACATGAAACGAGTTTTTATTTTTGAATCTGAAAATATAGGCACGATCTAAACTTTGCAAATATTATGGAAGAAGTTGAAGATCACTGAATAAATGTAATTTTTTGAGATTTCCTTGGGAATCGAACTGAAATTCAAAAATCGATGAGTAAAGTAAGAGAGAGAAGAGAGCTCAAGTAAGTCTATATGAGTGAATCGTAAGTTTTTTGTACAATTGACAAAAAAAAATGAAAGTGCTCCCAGAGAAAATCAGATTGGTACATTTTGTTCCTTCTCATTCAGTGAATCTGTAGTAAAAATTTCCGCGCTACCCGACTCGTCCTTGTCGCGATATTCGAACATCAAGTTCGGGTGTTCAACAAAAACCTTTTAAAAGAAATTGCTTCGAATATGCGTTGAAAGCCCATGCATGATGCATCATTAGATAGATCTGAGGTGGTGTAATCTAATGGTACTCACAGCAATCGAAGTGCGCCAAAAAGGAAAAACCCGAAAAATGTCCAAATACGCATTTTTCCGAAGAAAACCTCATAAAAAAGCCGATTTTTCTGAGGTTACGTGTCTAGAGAGTCTGCAAAAACTGCAGAATATTGTTATATGTCATCGTCTTAAAGCTCTCAATCTATTCTGTACTCTTTCAAAGTCCGAAGTCTTATTTTAGACACTCGGTTCAACCACATTGTTTTAAGGTCCACAAAAAAAACTGGGTCTACATTTTGAGGTATATCGTAAAACTCACTCTAAAAGTAAGCGAAACAGAGAACTAGTTGGTGATACTCTTGTTCAGTTTTTCACGCTGCATCTTTCTATGGCAGTCCGACTACTTTTCTTTCAGTAGTTGAGGAATAAAAGACAAAACAATTCTGAAAAACTGGGTCTACAGTTAGTATGTAATTAAAGCTTTTTGATCTTCTGGCCTAATTAAAAACAGTTTACCGCAACTATTTTTAGATAGTTTTGTAGTATTTTTTACGCTCTATCTTTTACTGGTTTTAGTTTCTTAAAAAATATGTTCCTTGTTCCCTCTAGGATCGTTTTAAACTGGGTCTACACTTTGTCTGTAAATCTGTTTTCGTCAAATAGAATCAAAAAAAAAACAAACAAACAAAAGTGAGCCACATGGATAGATAGAGAATTAAATTTTGCACAAAACTTGCTATTCGTCTATTTTATTTTTCTTCTTTCGTTCCTTCAAAAATTTTGTTTTCTATCGATGACTCATAGAAAAAAATGGTTTTTTAGAATTGTCCCTCTTATATCTCAGCCGGACGATGAGTTATGGAGCTGAAATTTTTTGTGGTAGTGGGAGATACATTAAGGAATGCGAGAAAAAAAAAGATCTGAGATCGCACTATAGGAACTGGAATTACAGGGGAAAAGGTTAAAAAAATGCAATTGTACAATAAAGTTACGATTCACTCATATTCACTTTTATTTGTTTTCTGATTGTTTCTTCAAGTCGCACAATATAAACGCAATTCAATGATATCTGTTGTTTGACTTTTAAAGGGTTTCACCCCACAGTTTTGCGTAAAGAATTGAAAGATGTACTATGCTATGATATTGTTGTTGTTGGAAACAGCAGCGTGACCAGAATTTTTAGAGTAATGGGAAAACTTCTCTTGTATCAGAAACAAAACAATGGACAAGGTCTTTATTGATAGGCCAAAACTCTTTTGACCCTACAAAGTACTGATAACGTAAAAAAGCATTAAAAAAATGAAACGAGGTTCTTTTAATCAAATATGCATCAAACTCAGATCGTAAGTCTGAGTCAGGTGTGTTTTAGTCTATTTTTAATGCCTCAGTTTATAACATTTATATTTCAAACTCAAACACCAAAATCCCTACATATATGCCATTGGATTTTTCCTTTCTCTTGTATGCGTCACTCTCTCTCTATATATATCTATAAATATATATGTTCATATGTTCTCTTTCTCTGTGTTCTTGTTTCTCTTCTCTTTGATCTATGCTTCTTCACTTTTACGTGGTTAGTGTTTTTCAGATCAAACCCAACTCACGTTCACCCAAACTTACAGTTAAAATACAAGAAGTGATTCTTTTCTTCTTCTTTTCTTAACTCTTCATAGAAAGAACAAACAAAGAGTACGTTTGTGATTCAGGCAAAAGAAAAAAGTACAGTTACTATCTAATTCAAAAATAAATAAACAATTCTGAAAAAGTAAAATTTCAATGAGCAATTGCCCATTCCCCCTCCCCCTCCGCCTTGGCTACGTCGCTGCTTGGGGATAATGTTGATGATGATAATGTTGTTGGTCATATTAGTGATTTGAAAGTTCTCGAGTTAGTATAACATGATACTAGTAATTTTTCAGCAGCTCTTAATGGTACAAATGTAATCATTGAATCATTAACAAAGTTAATTAAATTTCAAGATTGGTTTTGACAAGTATGTAACAAAAGAATTGATCTTTGTTATATGTCGAGTATAAGATGTTGTATCACAAACAGATATTACATGTCGTGCTAAAAATGCATTTCATTCAGTTATATTTCATTTGTTTTGTATCAACTCTATGATTTCTTTGATACCGATAAACGTAGCTGTTTTTGTCCATTGGTTAACTTTTTAATAAAATATTTCCACAAAATATCCATTCAATATGAGCTATTGATAAAATGAAGACATCAGCATTATTCGATTGCATAAGGATGCTACCAACAGAGATGGTGTAATGTTCTCAAGATGGAGAGATGTTACGGAGGGGGGTGGGACGGGTGAATAAAACAGTGTCTTATAAAGGTAGTAGCAAAGCCTAAAATTCTTGGTTGCTTTATTGCATAATAATGAGCATTTTGTTTTTTATTGTTGGGAAGGCGGCAACCTCACTCTCCCCTCTTCATACACACTGGCTTTTGTACCTTTTTATCATAGCCACTATTGGTTTAAATATGATATACATGTAACTATAGACGTGTATTAGTTTCAACATGGTTTGATTCTAAAGTTTAGAATTCTTTGGATGCTAGAAGCGGTGGTAGAATGCTGCCATTGATGAATTTCATGGATTCTTGTTGTAAACTAACTGTCATCAAACATTTATTAACCGGCTATTTATTAATAAGTTCACGTTGTGACCAACAACAACGAACATCATCAACTAGTTCCGCTCGATCACTATAAACCAATTTATGAAATTTGAAAAAATTTAAGGTATCATTTTGTCTTAAATCATATTATTGTTGTTGTTATCTTTCACTATCCTATGTATGGCGTGTAATAAATTAGTTAATATCTTCAGTTTCATGAGAATCGAAAACAACACTAACTCGATCGCATGTCACAAATTTTGTAATAATAATATTTGACAATAACTGTTTATCATTAATTAAGAATACTCTCATTTGTTTTTAATGGCTTTATTTTCCATAATGGATCATTATCAATAATTAATGTCAATTTATCATTATCGCTTTTTGAAGTTGTTGTTGAGAGCCCAGCTTGATTCTCCTTCGAATAATTCCTTTAATTCCGGCTTTGTTGCTGATATAATAAATTACAATCTTGATTGTCACATAATGATAAAGCTGCTGGTGAAAACTTATGTGCAAACAGCGAGGTCATATCCAATTTCTAAAAGAAAATAGCGAAAAAAAGCCATCTCCTTATAACAAAGAAGATAAAGAGAAGATTCAACTCTTCGCACAGACGGATCGATTTCTTCGCCTATATACTACTGAATAAGTTTTTGTTGATATAAAATTCTGATTATTGCAACTTACTCGAAAACATTATAAAAAAACAATGTTTATTATTGTATTGCCAGCTGTTTTCTCTATTTTAGTCAATATGCATCACTGGTATAGTTACAGTTTACTTCTAGAAAGAACGCTTTCAAGAGATAAATCTGAAACAGATAAGACAAGATAATAAGATCAGTTGTAAGGAAAACATATTGAAAAATAACAGATAAAAAAGTAAGCATGACGGATAATATAAATATTAATTTGCAGTTCTGCCTTTGATCAATCACTACGGCAAAAATCGCAGAGCACTGCATATGGAAGAAGTTTCTGATTTAAAAGTCA